GATCTACACCCAAGCTTGAACCTGAACAGCAGGGAGGACCCTGCGACAACTTTCCTCGATCAATGTGTCGCTCACACCTCCGTGGCTCCATGCACGCTTTAAGTCAGCCACCGGCAACCCAAGCAATCCCGCGACCTGCATCTTTGAAATTTCCACTTCCGGAGGTTGGGTCAACAAGTAACCCTCAAGTGGAATCGCCAAAATGTGTGCTACATCATGCATCATGATGGTCATTTCCCCAAACGGCAAGTGAAAAGAGTTTGTGTCAGGCTGCCACCTCTCTATGAATACAGAAATAAGTGCAAGGTCAATGTCATCATACATGGTATCAATCAGATGATACAAACCGGTATTCTAAATCTGCAACTGTGCGTTCTCCGGCAACCTCGCATACCATCCATGCAATCTGAACAAACTCTTCTTCGCTGGCTTCATCGTCAGGTAATCTCTTGGTTCTCCATTCTACAGCTGATAAGCAGTGTGACCAAGAAAACTAGGAATCACTGACCCATCACATGGCCCGCCAGGTACGTTGTCCGTCACAACCCAATCATCAATTTCTTCGTTAGAAACATTAGACCGTCTGCTAGTACCTGAAACCGAATAAAGAATAGTTGGTAAATACTTAACGGAATGCAATTAAGAAATTGACCAAGCAGTAATGAATGCTTAAATAGTTACAAATACGTACCTAACGTTGCAGCTGCCTCAGGACGGCTAGAGGCACCAATGGAGGCGGCACCAAAACGGGAACGAGGCTGACTAGTCAGACGGGGGTGCGCCGAAGTCCCGCCATAACGATGCTGGGGGTCGACATCATAAAGAGTACTATTAGGACCTCCAAACAAAATGCCCCGCGGTCCGGTATCATGAAGAGTTGTACTAGGACCTCTAAAAAGATCACTCTGTGGCCCGACATGATGAAGAGTAGTACTGGGACCTCTAAAAAGAGTACTCTGTGGGCCGACATGAACACTGGAACCACCGGGAGTGTAAGCTGAATTCAGGGCCGATAATCCAACAAGGGTCTTCCTCCCCTCCCCCCCTCCCCCCCGGGTAGGGTGAACTGGAGTTTGATAATCAGTACGACCTATGAGGTTCAGTACTGAGTTACCTCCAAAATGTCTATCCCTCCTCTCAGGCGAGGAATACTCGGTTGCCTCATCCTCCTCATCCATATCGTCCTCTCCCCCTCCCCCCCAACTCTCAAAACTATCCTCTTCTTCTTCCTCTCCCTCAAAATCATCATCATCATCTACGTTAGCTGACTCACCAAGTGGGCCAAACGTAGGATGTACATTTTTCAGTTTCTTTAAGTTTTTTTCTTTTTCTATACGATGTTCTGCATATAGATTGCGCGTAACTGCATGCCGATATCCAGATCCCTGAAGAGGCGATATCCCATCCTACAAAAGTTTTAAATTTTACACGTAACTTTAATTAATCCTGAATGCGTCCCAAAAAAATTAGTTTTATTACATACTTAATAAAACCTAAATAATAAATTATTAATTTAGGTTAATTACTTTAATACAGTTTTATATTATTTAAATGCCTAATTATAAAATTATCTACTATACATCTTAAATGTTTAATTTATTAAATATATTAAGTACAAATAATAATATCTACATATTTTATTATTTTTTAACCAAAATTAAATAAATATTTAATCTATTATTTAATTTTAACCACAATTAAATAAATATTTTATTAACTCTAATTATCTACTAACCTCTTTTTTTATTTACTTTGTACTTATTTATTTAATTTTCTTATACTAAGTATTTAATTTCTACGTATAATATTTTTTTGAAGCTAATTACCATTAAATCGACTAATCCTATAAATATATTTTCTATAATTAAATTAATTATAATAAATTTCATAATTTTCCAAATTAATTTAAAAAATTTAAAGCTCCCTAAAACTGCAAATGAATTCCTAAATATGAATATTATAACTAAATTAATTACTTAAGATTAAACATATACTTTTAATAATAACGTTTCCTAAATAAATTAAACTAATAAAAACAAATTCCTAAGATTAAACTATAAAAGCATAAATTTAACTAATAATAAATAATTAAACTAAATTTTATAAGATTTACAATTACTAATACTAACAATTAAATTAATATTACTGATATTTATTCTACAATTCATAAATAAAAATTAATTTTAAATAAATAAAATAAAAAATTAATATACTAAAAAAAAGAAAAACTGGCGCAGGCACATGAGCGGCGCCGGTTAATCTCGCCAGGCGCTGGCCGCCTGGCGAGACCTTTCTCGCCCCCCCTTTCCGTGGCGAAGAAAGGGGCGCCAAGCTCGTATCTCTGCGCCAGCTCTACTTGCCCCGGCGTGGTTCTCCTTCGCTTGCCGGGTCAGGGGTGTTGTTTTTTTTTTTATAAAAAAAAAACTCAAATTTTAACGTACCTTCAGTTGCCGTAGTTTTTTCCGTAGCCGTTTCATTCGTTCCGCTATTGAATCTGAGTTTATAGGATTTTGGAATGAGAGAATTTGAAATGAAAGATTGATTGAGGAATTGAAAGAATGAAATTGAAACTCATAATTTATAAAATTTGGTAGGGGCAAAATGGTCTTTTGGTGTTATATTAGGGCGCTCAAGGGAAAAAATTAGGGCGTAGTAGCCTCCCAGTTACCAAAAACCATCTTCCATTTCGTTTCAATCCATTCCATCGCAATCAAAATATCCTAAAAACTCAAAAATTCATTCCTGCGGCAACACATCCACAGAAAGCTACCATCAGCGGAACTTCCAAAGCCTGATTCAGAACATTCATCAGAATCGGTGATTCTGGTGACAGTCTACTGTACTGAATATGAGGACTAAGGTAAATTCTGAACAATTCCATCTGTTTTCATGGGGTAATCCAATTTCTAAAGTTTGATGAATATAGTTTTTCTTTAAAATATTCATGTAAAGATCAGTCGCTGAGGATTCCGAACCCAGTATGAGCAAATCGGACGATGAAGGGGAAGCTAGGTAATAGAACTATTCTCTTCAACAATTAGTGTATTTTTTTGTTTGGGTTATGTAGATCTGATGTATGTTCACGCGATTGACTATGTTTGTTCATCAATTTCATATATTTGTTCATCGATTAGATGTTTCTTTGGTAAATTAGTAGATCTGAGAATTATTCATCAGTTTATCATAAATATTCATTGTTAAAATTCTCAGAATCATCAGATTGTGTTGGTTTTTGGTATTCATAAGTATATCTGGGAATTATTCATCAGTTTAGTATGATTATTCATTGTAAAAATTATCAAATTCATTAAATTGTGGTTGGTTTAGATATTCATCAGATTGGTAATTTGTAACCATTAATTTTCTTCATTAGTTTGGTAGTTGGTATTCATTAGATTGTATTGTTGATTTTATTACCATGCGCTATTCATCCGTAAAGGGCCGTTATTCATTGGTTCAGCAATGATTATTGATTCTACAATTTCATAATTCGAAAGGAATAAATTGAAATATCGTCTTCTTCAAAATGTTTATTCATCATCTATGTACAGTTATTCATTAAATATGTGATGACTGATACGTGTATGTTAAGAAACAAACTAAAAAATTCATCACATACAACAAGTTATTCATGGAATTTGTTAACAAATTGTAGCATGAGCAAAGAAAATCAAACAGAATCCGATAGAAGCATTAGCAAAGACCAACAATCAGAAGACGAAGAAGCAATAACGAAGAACAACAATCAGAGCCCGAAAGAAGCATTAGCGGTGAACAACAATCAGGAGCCGATGGAAACAAGATATCTGAATCGGCAAGAAACCAAACCAAAATAATTGTAGACACAGAGATAGAGGGCTTGGGAAAAAGTGGTCCAGGGGTGACACTGATGTTATTATTCTGAAAGACAGTGAAAAAAGGTACGATATTTCAGTTATACATTTTTTCTTTATTGTTATTCATCAAATACGGGTTATAAATCATGATTTATTTTTCATAATGTGGTTATTCATCTAGAAACAACAAAATATTCATCAATACCCAATCCATATGCATTATGTTATAAGTACATACATGGATCGTGTAGTACCCAATGCAAAATCTAGGAGATCGCGAAGCTTTCCAGTGGTTGCACATTGAACAAAAGAAGATTTGAAAAAAATAGTAGATGTAGAGAGAAGAGGGGATGGTTTCGGAAGTGCTATTATACACAAAAAGTCCGTAACACCAAGATAAACCATTCAACCGCAAATTCATTCCAAACCAGATCCTCAGCAACAGGCAACCCATAAGGTACATTTTCCAGTTATGCAATATTTAATTGTATATATTTCATGAATATCATTCGGAATAACGATGAATGAAAATTTTCTAGGAAATGAATTTGGCAGAAAAATTGCAACATGTAATGATAAATAATATGGGTCCACTACTAATCAAGTTTGGAGAATTATTCGAGGAGGCCAAATCTGCAGGGCTTAGTAGCGAAAGTGTATTGAACAAGTTATTCTTCAATTACACCGAAAAGGTAAACAGTATGGTTGTTGCAACCCAAAAGCAAACTGAGGTGTTTATGAGGAACAACGACAGGAAGGAGATTTCGAAACAGAAAGCCAAATGTTGGATTGGTACAACTGCCCAGAAATGCTGGATTTTTGCAGAAAGTTTGGAGGGTTCATTGATGGTGCATCAACATCATCGAATCCACAAGAAGGAGCCACACATGCCATTCCTTCATTACAACCGGACTTCAGCCTTGAGTTGACACAAATGTTTGCATCCTTAAATAACAAAGGTAATATATTTATATTTTTTGATATAATTGTTCTAATATTCACTATTAAACATTTGTATATTCATTATATTTCACATACGTATTCATCAATCCGGGCTACATATTTATAATATACTGCAAATAATTATATTTCACATACGTATTCATTAATAAATATATGTATATGCATCATACTCCAAATAATTCTGTATTTTCCCAATATGAAATGACCATTAACGAAGCTGCAAAACACCCTGTAGGAAATACTATTGATGATGTTCAGAATCTGGCAAATGAAACTGAGAAAAACACAGGAACCGACAATGTAAATCTTGGTGACAACATACCTGATGATGACGTATTTTCAACACCGAAAAGGGCTGATGATGGTTCAGGTTATAACCAAGAACAACAAAGTGCCATTTTTAACATTTTTGGTATTCATCCAACCCACGTTGGATATGCATTCAAATATGCCCTAAATATATTTCTTATTTTGCAGGGTACTCAGTGGCAAAAAAGAAATTCTGAATAAAGAGAGGCCAGAAATTTAACTACATGATGTGTCGCCATCCAGGAAAACAAAAGGATTGAAAATGGAAAAGATCGCTGAAAAGGAGAGGATATTGTCGGATTATGTTTTTGGAATTCAAGACGACACGTAAGATAGATGAGATTTCAGAATCTCACTCGTGTTTTCTCTGTTTTTAACATAATTTCTTTAATCATATTGTCTGTTTACTGCATGTTTTGTTAAATTGATATGAAGTGAAACACTATTTGAGATACTAGAAGTGGAAAAGCCAACGATCCAATACATATTTGTCCAAAGTTCAAGCTTCGAGACAATGGAACCTGGTCAACTGGTGGATAATGCTGTAGTTGATGCTTGGGCAGCACACCTGAACACAGAAGCATCACATGAAAGGAAAAAACATCCAGCAATATACTTTTCAACCCTGATATCGGTAATATAAACATTTGAACATACCAAATGTTCATCTATTTAATGTACATATTCATTATTTCAGACATTGATATTCATTATTTCGACTATGACCATTCACCTTGTTACAATATGGCACATACACTAATGCCATATGAAAAAGACCAACTTCCAATGGAGGCGTGCATGGTTAATGTTGTATATAGGATAGGGTATGAACTCCAATGCATGAACATCAGTGTTGATAAGTTCGCATGTGCAAGCTAGGTAATATTCGACTATATCAACAGTTTGTATGTTTCTTTGGCTGTACTTAATCTAGAATATAATTAAACAAGTATCATGGGTTTTGCAGCTTTTTGTGTCAATATTGCACTCTGTTCATTGTTACTTGTATGTCTTCAATATGGTCAACAAACGGGTGGAAGTGATTGATAACGCCGATTCAATAGGCGCCGGTATACCGTTCCAGAACAAGTATGGGGAGACATACAGATTTATGGTGAGATATTAAACACTAACCAAATTGAATCTTCAGTGACCTATATAATAATTGTGATTCTGTCTTTGATGAATATCTCTGCGATTGATGAATTTTGCGATATAGTTGATGAGCACCTTATTGTAACTGATGTTTGAAACCTGAAACAGATTGAAGTTTTTACCAGATACTTCACAGAAAATGGGTCAAATCAGCTGAAAAATGTAGAGCAGTTCAAAAATCCAAAGGTGCATCCCCTTAAATGGAGCAACATTGGTAACCACATCGACTGTGCCATATATACGATGTGCCACATGAAAAAATTCAGTATATTTTTGAAAGAGTTCAAGACTGGGATTCCGGTGTATGGCACGACAGAGGTAAATACAATTACTTTAAAAACATCAAGTTTTTCACCAAAAATCACGATTCGGTTTGGTGTTCATTAACTACTATTTTGTTTGCATGTTCAGAGGCAACAAAAAAACCACCAAGCAAAACTTGATCAGCTGCGAATAAAGTACCTTGCGGAGTTGTTAACTTCAGAAATCCACACGAAGTCATTGATGATAACCGAGGGAATGAAGAAGTTATACACTGGAACGAAGGGCTAGATGTTGATCAGAATCATATTGTACACTATCTTTACGGTCATCAAACATATATATATATATATTGGCAATGTACATTTTGATTACTGGAGTATGTTTTAAGAATATTTTAGTTTATTATTATGATAATGGATACTTGTTACTCTTTTTTTCCACTTATCATTGAATTATATATGCATCACTGTCGCTTGGATATTAATGAATACAATACAAATTATACATTTTACCAACTTAAAATGGAAACTCAAAATATGAAAAGCGAAATTACAAACTTCTATTTTGTACCATATTAACTATTAAAATGTATGAAAACACTCGAATTTGTGTGTGTGAAACATGTTTCGATGGATATGAAGTAAAAAAATTATATACTATCCATCGTAACACCCATTATTCATTTAGTATACAATCATTTGTTCATCATAGTCTAGTTGATATTCATTATATACACCCAGTTGCTCAACTAAATTCATCAATAACTGAAATGAAATGATATTCATAGTAAACGTAAGGATAATCATTGTTTACAACCAATTGTTCAACTTTAATTCATCATAAATGTAAGCATATCACCATAAATCATGATTAAATAATATCATAATTCATTAATAACTAAAACAAAATTCATTAAAAAACACAACAGCCACACCAACATTGTTTTGCTATACTTGACTACCTTGCCTATTAACCTGATCAAAACCACTAAAATCAAGCGGGTGCGCATAACGGCCAATCAAATCAGGGTTAATAGAGTTAACCATTTTGTATATAGTCTTCCTCGTCCTGAAAGCTGCACCTTTCTTGTGTTTCCCTGTAGATTGCCTTGATCTTTTCTTAATTTCACTCTTCCACCTTATGTTCCGCTTCCCCAATGGCCTTAACATATCAGGATCTTTAGAATAACATTTGAACCTGAAGGAGCATGAGATGCGTGATTACCACCTGCATCTCTTCAGTTTCTTCGGTCAAAGATCCAACATCCTTACGAACATTATCAGACAATGTTTTTATCGTATCTGAAATGATTTTCTTGGCACTGTCACATGATTCGCTAGCTGATAAAATTTTTAATCATGTCAATTTTCCATAAGAAAGAACCCGTGATATCAAATTTAGATCCATATGCATTGTCCAAAGAATCACCAATGCACCCTAGATTTGCATTCCTTCTGAATCTTGGCAAAATATAATATTCTGGAACTTGATTGACATTACAAAACATGTAAACTCTGAGACAATGTGCACACAAGAAACCCGAATATGAAAACATGTTGCATGTGCATTTAATCTCATGTGTCTGAGCATTAAAAACAACTTTCATCACATCGATAAGCATCCGCCTAACATGATGTAACTCCAAACCAGCGCCACCATTAAAAGACTCAACAACCCAATGATTACACTGAACTGCAGCATCAAATTCCTTTTCAAAAACAAGATGAGCCCCAATTGTGTATAGTTCTCTTGCATGATGGCACATATTTACATTTGGAAAACACATATTAACCCAACCATTGTTGCACCGGTGGTCCTCATCATTCTCTTGTACCCTCAAACTATCAATTACTTTAATGAACCTTGCATCAAAAGAGCATAAACGAGAAGTTTTTGTAAGGGATTGTGAAATTGACCTGTTTGTTGATTCACTCCTCTGCGATGATAATGCACCACCTGAAAAAAATGTCTTGCTATATGCAGAACACCACTTCTCCCTGGGGACATATTTGTCTCTCAACCATTTATTATTGTGACACTGGTAAGTATCACACATCCTGGTTTATAATGAAACAAAAAAAAGAAGAAAATATTAATTAATATATATATATATATATATATATATATATATATATATATATATATATAAAGCCATATGCATATGCTTTGCCTAAATATGCATGCTTTTTTAAACAAATAACAAAAAGTACGTTTATTCATCAAACATACAATAATATTCATCAAAAAAAGATAATTATTCTTTTATATAACTATAACATAAATCATACTTCAAGACGTTCTAATATACTGAATTAATCATCATTAAATCTGTAATTGTTCATTAATAGTGAACTATAAATTCATCAAAAATTTTTCAAATTACACGATTAGAATTAGACAACAAAGTGATACAAAACAAAAATGAAGAAAAAAACTTACAAACGCCAATAATACTCAAACTCAGCTTCTGTATCGGTGTACCTCAAAACATTTGGAATAGATCTTTGAAACCAACCTTGTTCCTAAGGTACCCAATGTGTTTCTTCAAATTCTCCTGGATATGCCATGTGCAAAGACGATAACGTGATTTTGAACACCGAGGGGATTGCAGCACCCATGGCAGCACACTGATCTGTCATGATTGTTATAGGTTCTTTACCACCCATAGACTTCACAAATTCATCAAATAACCATTCAAATGACTCGATATCCTCATGCAACAAAAAACCTACACCAAACATGAGGTTTTGATTATGGTGATTCATCCCTGTAAATGGTGCCCATACAAGCTTATATCTGGTTGTCCTGTGAGTGGTATCATGAACAACCAAGTCACCAAAAACATCATAATCCCTTCTCATACGTGAATCCCTCCAAAAAATACAACAAAGTCTACACTCTTTATCATGGGTGTAATTGTAATAAAAACTATGTTCTTTCTCTTTACTTTTTTTCAACGTATCCAAGAGCTTGTTTGCATCACCGCTTTCCCATCTAGCACGTTCACTAGCTGCAACCTTAATTCTGACATCCGTGATGGTGTATCCTAGGTTAGGAACACCTTCAGCTTGATCTCTAAAACTCCAAAACCATCAGTAAGCCCAATACCACTATCTTTCAGTTTGGACAAAAGAATAGCATCATCCGTTGGTACTTCCCTTTGTGATCGCATCAAATGCCTCTGCCTTATGGGAACAAGTTCATGACAATGTTCACTAATATCATTGACCACCTTCTATATCCCTTCATTATCAATACCTATCTCGACCATTGCCTTATAACCAACACGCGTATCCATCTTGATATAGCATTTACCCGTTGAAGCTTTTTTCCTTCCTTGTTACATACAAATTGTTTCATATACACAACTCCAGTTCTAGGCCTTTTCCTGTCTCTAAACTTTTTAATTGAAAAACCGTTACGCTTTGTGTAAGAATTGTAAACATCAAATGCCTCCTTCTCCGATTTAAAACATCGTCCAATTAGAACATCATCTGTTAAGTTAAAAAAGATTATTCATCAATAAACTCGTTACAAAAAAAAAACAACAAATAAGCAAAACCGAAACCATATTCATCAATAATAGTATTATATGTATTAATAAAGACTACACATTGATCAATAAAAAATAACCAAATAGAACATCATCTGTGGAACACAACAAAAGCATCTCTATTCATCAATTATCATACGTTACTCACAATTGTAGGAACCTATATTCATCAATATAAGAGTACAAAATACATCAATCATCTTTTACTAATTGGCAACAAACTACCAAAACAACCATAATCAACGATTGTTCATTACATAAAAGTAAATATGCATTACAAATGGTAGTAATAATCATCATGAAAACTATAATATATAATCAATCTGATCATATTATCTTCTAAGGTTTCAGAAACCCAATCATCAATTTCAACCAAAGCTCTATCATCACTAACAACAATTGTTGAAGAAACATGATCAACATCATCGATTTCCTCTACCCCATACGTATTTAACAAACCTTCCAGGGTTGCAAACATCTTCTTCAACAATATCCGCAACACCTTCATCATCATAATCCCAACTATCATCGCCGGTATCTATTCTGTTGTTTAAATCTATATCTTCCGTTGTGAAAAATATGAGGATGAAGAGAATTCTAAATGATGCAAAACTTTATCAATATTGTATAATTGTTCAATGACATTCGTTAAGGATAATGGGAACAAAAATTAACCGTTTAAAATTTAAAATCAATGCAAGAATCACGTTTCAGTGATCACGTAATTAAACTGCTGATTTGGATAATTAATTTGCGTGTGTATAATTTTTTTCAGAAACAATATACTCCACTTTTTTTCCCCCGTGTGTGTTACACGCACCTCCTAGGTATACTAGCTTGATATAATTTGCGGCATACTCATCACCCTTTCCTAATTTTCCTTTTTCTTATATTTTTTTAATTCACAAAGATTTTATAATTTTAGTCCTTAATCTTTGGGATTAGACAAGTATAGTCCCTACTACTTTTAACTTTTTAATTTTTTTTTAATTTTTTTATGAAAGGTAAATTTCATTAATCAAACCAAATCAAGTACATACAAGCTATCAACTTCTATTACATCACAGCTTCTATAACATCACACTTTCCCAATTTTCCTTTTTCTTTTATTTTTTTTATTCACAAAGATTTTATAGTTTTAGTCCTTAATCTTTGGGATTAGACAAGTATAGTCCCTACCACTTTTAACTTTTTTTTTTTGATGAAAGGTAATTCCATTTTCAGTCAAACCAAACCAAGTACAAGCTATCAGCTTCTATTACATCACACTTTCATTTATGTAGATACCAATTTTGCTCTAAAAACAACTTTTCTCCTGGTCTATATTTTTTACAACACTCTATGACTCTACATTTAGTCTCCTGCTCAAATACAAGATCTTCATCAATTTTCTTTCCTCCATGTTGGATCTGATTTCTCATCCACCAGACTTGGTATATTGTTACTGCTAACACCCCAAACAACACTTTTGCTTGCACTTGCTTTCCTACCAGATTTTCATCAATCTAGTTTTCCACAACTTAAGCTCGTTAGGAATCCTGCTGCATTTGAGCCAAACCTCACTTTTTACAGCAAATTAGTTGAGTATTTGCATTGAAAGAAAAGATGATCCAGACTTTCATCTTTTTCTTGACATAAAACAAATTTGAATCACCGGCCCAGTAGCCTTTTTGCCACCATTCTGTCAGCAGTTCATAGTCTTTGTTTCATTTAGCCATATACCCACAATGTGTTT